TGTTGAATAGCCCACAAACTGGCCTTGAACCTATTTCCCTACTGCCAAAGCACCTTAAGGGGATCTCTCTAAAAGAATGACAAATAGGACACACCAGCTCTGTGTCTTCACTCAAAAATAAACTGACAAGGGACTGGCAAGGAAGTGTTTTAGATTCTACTCACATGTGGACCTGAGTGAAGCATTCAGATTCACCTCTGCTTGGAAGGAGGACCTACCTCCCACTCTTCTGGCCAACCATTTCATTGACTGGACACTCCTGAGGCCCACATAAAGTGTGAAGACTCTGGGAAGATGGCCAGTATGCAAGGAGGGAAGATTAGTTACTCAATCCCTAATCTGCAAATGAGCTGTTCTGGAAAGTCTCAGAGGATTGCTTTGTGAGATGTTTTGTTACTTTTGGCTTACAATTCCCAGAATTCCCCAGCCAGACATTTCTTCTGGCATTGGTATAATAAGATTAGGTGGATGGATAGAGCTGCATGTGGTTATTTGCTGTGGCTTGGATTCTTCATATGATCTTTATAGAATGTTTATTTCCCAGGGTCTAATCAAAATCTAACACATAAACATAAACTGAATTTGTCTATGATACTATTGAAGCTAGCAGGTTTGATCACTGCATGAATTTTTATAGCCAAAGGAACTGGACCAACCCAAGACATTTTGTGATTTGAAACTAAAGAGCAGGCTGTTCTCCACATCAAGGAATCCCACCACGTAAATAGTGAGCAGCCATTATATTATTTGCTCTTCAATTCTGGAAAACTCATTTTTGCTAAAATATGTTTCCTACACAAAAAATAATGTTTAAGACAGTTAACAAGGTTTATTTTTTGCATAAAACAAGAACCAGGGCTCCTTCAATGTGACCTTGATCTGTGGTTCTTGGAGAGGTAAGAGCTGCCATATGTATTCTAGATGCTTGCTCTTCCTGGTTGATCAAACAAGCCAGAGGCGGACTGGCAGCGTAGGTGAAGGTGGTGCGTCAATGTCTCTTTGGAACAAAGCAAAGCTTCAACTTGCCTAAGGGAGGCAGTTGTGAGACCTATATTTAAAAAGCCATCATTAAACCCCTCTATAAGGGACAACTATTTGCCAGTGTCTAACCTTCCATTTCTGAGCAAGGTTCTGGAGTGTGTGGTGCCCTCCCATCTCAAGGGATTCCTGGATGGGATGGATTATCTAGATTCATTTCAATCTGGTTTCAGGCTTCAGGCCTGGCTATGGAACAGAGACAGCTTTGGTCACCTTGGTGGATGGCCTATGCAGAGATTTAGATGGGAGTGTGTCGCTGTTGGTTCTCCTGGATCTCTCAGCAGATTTTGATACCATTCACCATGGTATCCTTCTGGGTCATCTTGCTGGGATGGGACTGGGAGGCACAGTTTTACAGTGCTGGGGATTTCCTGTTAAACCCCTGGGTGTTATCCTGTCGGGTTCCTTAGGGTTCCATTTTGTCCCCCATATTGTTTAACATATACATGAAACCACTGGGAGAGGTCATACAGAGTTTTGGAGTATAATGTATGTGGATGACACCGAGCTCTACTATTCCTTTTCACCAAAAGCCAAGGAAACTGTCCGGACCCTAAAACAGTGCCTGCCATCAGTAATGGACTGGATGAGGGCAAACAAATTGAAACTTAAACCAGATAAGACAAAGGTACTCCTGGTTAGTCAAAAGGCAGATCAGGGAATAGGGATTCAGCCTGTGCTGGATGGGGTTACACTCCCCCTGAAGACACAGGTCCATAGTTTGGGGGTTCTCCTGGGCTTGGGATTTAACCTGGAGGCCCAGGTGCCAGCGGTAGCCAGGAGGGCCTTTGCACAATTAAAACTTGTGTGCCAACTGCTCCCATTCCTTGGGAATCCAGATCTGGCCATGGTGATACATGCCTTAGTTACATCCTGTCTGGATTACTGAAATGTGCTCTACCTGGGGCTCCTTCTGAAGAGTGCTCAGAAATTTCAGATGGTCCAAAGAGCTGCAGCCAGGTTATTCACTGGGGCTGACTACAGGGAGCGGACAACACCCCTGTTGCAGCAGCTCCACTGGTTACCAGTCTGTAACTGGGCACAATTCAAAGTGCTGGTTATGACTTTTAAAGCCCTAGGCAGCTCAGGTCCAGATTATTTGGCTGACCTTATCCCCTTATACAAACCTGCCTGGGCCCTGAGATCTTCAGGAGAGGCCCTGTATAGGTCCCACCTCCATCTAAAGCTGGATTGGGCCTTCTTGGTGGCTGCCCCTCAACTCTGGAACTCCCTGCCCAGGGAAGCTAGAATGACCCCTTCCTTGCTGTCCTTCTGATGGCTGGCTAAATCGTTTTTATTTAGACAGGTTTTAAAAGATGAATTAATATCAATTCAGGGGGGGGCTGTGAATTTGTTTTAATGATTTTTTACTTGGAATTTTTGAATACTATTTATATTTAATTCTGCTTTTATGTTCATATGTTCGTATATTGGCCCATGGGATTGCTCCTATTACTACTATTATTATTACAAAGGCTGGATGGTTATCTGTTGGGGCAGGCATGTAGCCGGGGGGGGGGGGTTGAGGGGCTTCAGCTCCCCCCCCGAAATTCTCATGGTGGTTGCGAAAAGGCCTTACTGGTGCATTATTTAAACTGTTATGTTTATTCATATCATGATCTGATCACCATACTCAATATATCCCATATGCATGGGGGTATTAGGGTAGGCTAGACCCTCTTTCACTCAGACTCAGCCCCTTCCCGAAACTCAGCCCCCCCCCCGAAACCCCCCCTGAAAAAAATTCAGCCCCCCCCCCCCCGAAACGAAATCCTGGCTACGGGCCTGTGTTGGGGGTGCTTTGGCTGTGCTGTTACTGCATGGCAGAAAGGAGTTGGATTGGATGGCCTCTGGGGCCTTCCACTGAAATACTGTTAAGTTTATGTTGGTCAAAAAGTTTGCCCGTGCCTGAGATAGATAGATAGATAGATAGATAGATAGATAGATAGATAGATAGATAGACACATTCTATGTAATATATAATATAGAAATATTTCTTGGGGATCCACTTTTGCTTCGAAAAGGGCTATGCAACTGAAAATGTTTGAAAACTAGGACAGGCAACTCCATGGGAACCAGGAAACAATTTTACCATTACCACCTGTCTATAGACATACCAAAATGCTTTTTGCATCAAACAAAACTGTGGTGCAACACAACTTATGGTCACCATATTGGCCAAAACACAGCTGAAGAAAAATATATTTTGGGGCTATGGCGTTTTGAGATGGAACTAGCTGTAATCCCAACCTTCCTCGAAACCTATTTGGACACCAAAAACTGGTACACATCACTTGTAAGTTAAGTTTTATTTGTAATAAATGATGCAGCAGGAAATAAAGTTTTGCAGTCTTTTATCTAATAGAATGCAACATTCCTTTGCAACAAATGATAGAACTGGACCCCCAAATAACTAGTTCCATCCAGATAATCTCAGAACTGACTCTCTAGTTTCATGCATCTGGCCAAACAGGGACTTTGAGGTGCAGTACATTCTGCTATAGGGGGAGGCCTCAGGAAGATGAATTCACAATGTTTATATTGTATGCAGGTAAGAAACCAATAGATATGAAAACTCTGGAAGCAGGTTGCTTCAAGGAAAGTTTGTTCAAGCATTGAGTGCTCCTTAGCATTGAATTGCCAAGTTAAAGTAAAACTGTCTACCAGGGCCCACTAAATAGAAACCCTTTTAATAGGATTAACATTTGTCCATGATGCTAGCAAAGACACAGAATCCTATCTACCTGTTGACAAAGACTGCGGCATGCTAGTGTAGGCCCTTAAGGACCACAAAAGTGGGTCCAGGCGCTGTTTTTAGCCTATATGCTGCACTTCCTGCACCAATGGCCTAGATCCTTAGGATTCATAAAATATCAAGACCATAAGAATGTAAAATGTTTTATTGTATTTATTTCTGCATATATATTACATGCATAACTCATCTTTTTTCCAGTTAAGTCAAGCTGGGATCCCGTTGCCCCCATTATCCTCACAGCAACATCTATGTGTGGGTTAGGCTTTTGAGAGTGATCAATCTGAAGTCATCCAGTGAATTTCATGATTAGTGAAGACTTGAATCTGTTCAACAGTTGAAACATTATGTTACACTAGCTAATGTTGTGCCTTCTTGACATAAATGGGAAATGATGAAATAGCTTGGGCCATTCTGCAATACCCTCAGCTTTTCCACAGTGACTCATATTGCAGAGATTGAATCAAACATAAACTAATGCTACATACAGTACCTTGTCCTTGATGCTGAGTTGATTCAAATGTCACCATGTGCCTTTCATTCAGTGTTGTAATAAAGATGTAGCCATCCTCTTATAAAAAAAATAGTATGCTTTAGAGAATGAGTGAGTCAGTGAGGGTGTAGGAGAGAAACTTCCTTTGTCTGTAGCAGAGCATGGTTCTGGATCTGCAACTCCAACTCCCAGATTTTCCTGAATAGGTTGGGGGATTCTAGAGGTTGTAGTTCAAAGAAGTTAAATTTACTATAGGAGAAGCAATTCCCATTGCTTAATGTAGTGTTTCTTTACCTAGGGGTTGGGACTGCTGGGGTTCAGAATTCTCTTTGATTGTAGGTGAACTATAAATCCCAGCAACTACAAGTCCCAAATGTCAAGGTCTATTTTCCTCAAACTCTACCAGTGTTCACATTTGGGCATATTGAATATTCATACCAAGGTTGGTCCAGATCCATCATTGTTTGAGTCCACAGTGCTCTCTAGATATAGGTGAACTACAATTACAAAACTCAAAATCAATGCCCATCAAATCCTTCCAGTATTTTTTGTTGGTCATAGGAGTTTTCTGTGACAAGTTTGGTTCGATTCGATTCCATCATTGGTGGAGTTCACAATGCTCTTTGGAGGTTAACTATAAATCCAAACAACTACAACTCCCAAATGACAAAATCAATTCTCATCCCCCCCCCACCCCACCCCTTCCAACCCCACCAGTATTCAAATTTGGGCATATTGCGTATTTGTGCCAAATTTGGTCCAGTGAATGAAAATACATCCTGCATAAGCAGATATGTACATTATGATTCATAACAGTAGCAAAATTACAGTTATGAAGTTGCAACAAAAATAATTTTATGGTTGGGGGTCACCACAACCTGAAGAACTGTATTAAGGGGCCACAGCATTGAGAAACTCTGGCTTAATGTTTTAAAAATATTTATAGTGGTGTTAATTCTACAAGGATTGGTCTACTCAAAGCTACCCATAGTTTGGAGTTGAGGCAGGGAAACCTGGTAGATCAGAATTTACTGTTGAATTTCTGGATGTGCCAGAATGAGGAAAGAGACTGAAAGTTGCAGTTCAAAAACATCTGGAGGTTGGCATGCTCCCCATTCCTTGGCCCAAAACCTACCTGTCTCTCTATGGCCAGATGCAAGGGACCTGTCACCCCCACAATAATATGCAAAAAGAATAAACCTGCCTATGCCCTGTCTCAGGTGCAGAGAAATGGCATCTCAAAGATTTTGTGCAGCTGGAGAATTGGATTTCATGGCTAAGTCCCAAGAGACCATATTGTGTGCATCTTGTAGGCTTCTGAGAAAATAAAAGGCTACATCTGTAAAGCACCAAATGATTTAAAGTGGTACAACCTAACCATGTGAATTCTCTATTGGGAACAAGCACAGAAAGAATAGCACAATGAAGGAGGTATAAAATATATGCATCCAGACTCTCTATTGAAATATGCATCAATCAGAATTTGTGGACACAATAAATATTGAAGCAGCAGAATGCCAACGTGTTTGCCATGTGTTAATGTCACAGCAGGCTATCAATATCATCTTTGCAAAAATATTACAAATGCATTTCATTGTAATTAACACTCCTGGGCAGATTTCTTTGTGCCTTTTCTCACTTTCAACTTCTTGTCATCATCAATCAAAAATAAATGTTCCTGTATGAAGCTGATACTCTATAGGACATAGCAGGCTGTCACCAATTCATGGTCCTTAAATCTGTGTCATATGAAATAGTCCTTTAGTTAACTGCCTGCTTTCTGCCAAACTCCATGGCTGTTAAATGCCCCTTCTTGATCAAACCACAAGATGGCACCATAATACTGTTGTGTCTTCTCCAGAAGAAGGGGTTGAAAACAGCAGGATTTCTTTATTTGTCACTGAGCCAAACATTGAGTGATTTCTTCCTGTAACAAGAATAATAATGTTAGCGAGATATAATGGATAGCATAGTTCATCTGCTGCTCTGAGCCCTTTTCACACTACTAATTTATAGCACTATGATTCCACTTGAGTTGTCATTCAATTCTATGGAACCCTGGGATTTGCAGGTTAGTGAGGCACATTTAGAATTTTCAGTCAGAAAGCTCTAGTGCAGTGGTTCTCAACCTATGGGTCTCCAGGTGTTTTGGCCTACAACTCCCAGAAATCCCAGCCAGTTTACCAGCTCTAGTGCTTCCCTGAACTACAGAACCCAGAATTCCATAAGATGCTGCAATGGAAGTTAAAGCAGAATCATAGTACTATAATTGTGTGGTATGAAAGGGCTCCTGCTGTGAAATAGGTATGCGCCAGTTCTTGCCACACAATAATGTCCCCTTAGCATGTGAAGGCAACTACATAACATTCCGTGCTTTATTTTTTGTGCTCTTTTCATTGTTTTACTCCACCAGTGGTATCCATGGGGCAATGGATCCAGCCCAGGCTGACATTGGAACTTTAAGGGAGCTCTCCAAGGTACTGTACCCAATCCACACCCCACCCCCAAAAGAGGCCCAGCAGTTTTGATAGCTCCTAAAACCTGCAGAAATGTACCACTTTACTGGCTGTGATTTATCCATCACAGGAAGCAACTTCAACCTATCACCAATTCATTGAAGAGATGGGACCCAAGCTCTAGGTTGGCAGTTCAACAGCATACATGACAGCTAGGAAGATAAAAGGATAATAGGAGACAAATATACACAAACTCTACACACAATATTTCTCCACATGTCATCCCTTCATTGAAGGGTTGTTCTATTGAAGTTTGATTGAACATCTAGAGCCAAGAATCTTAACAAAGAAAGCTTGAAATTCATACTGAGGTTTCTACACATTTTGAAGCAGTGGTGACTATGGTCCAAAGCGAAATCTTCATCCTCAACATTTAGAGGTGGGAAATCTCACTCTGATGAGATAGTGGCCTCCCTATGCATTCAGCTAGAGCTCAGGAGGAAGACGTCACAATTTAAGCTATTGCCCACAGCTTATTTTCTCAAGTGAGCTTGCCTTTCAAAATTAACAAGAGTGGCAACAAAGATATAATGTTGGTGAAATAGTGGGTGGGAATCTTGTGGTTCTCCAGGTGTTGCTGGACTTTAACTCCTAGCATTATCATTGGGTTTTCTGGGTAGGGCTGCTTGGATTTGCAGTCCACCACATTAGAAAACCATGGGATTTCCAGTTTCCAGAAGAGTTTCAAAGCCCATTCTAATCCCCATCCCCATTCTCCATATCCTTGACTTAGCTATGTGTTCCATGTAAATTACATTACAAGACCCATCCTGACCACCCATGTCTGTAAGCCTGCCAATTTCCATTTCTATCTCTCCTACCAAATTCTGTGAATATCCCTGGAATGTGAAACAATCCTGTCTTCATTTATTCTGTAATGTAGAAGCAACATTATGTTTCTCTTTCAGCTGCTTGGGGTGTTTGTCCTTGGGGCTTGAGGACTTTAAAGGATTGAGACTGCATGTGACCCATAGGTCACAGCTTCCTCACCTTAATATGGAAGAGCAAATTGCTTACCTGTAATTGGGTTTTTGAGTGGTATATATTCTATCCTTCTTGTGTCTTATACCACTTGGAATAAGTCACCACATTTTAAAATCACATCATATAAAAGGATGCCTTTGATTAAAAAAATAAGGGGCAACAAAAATGTATAGAGGACACAGACCAAAGCCCAATCTTTAAGAAAACAAAAAAGTTTTCTAAATAGATCTATCTTCACCAGTTGGCAAATGACATACAGAGAGGGGAGTAGCCTCCACCTTACAAAAAAAGGTGGCCCATCCATGCCACGCATTCAGTACAGTTGCCAAGAAACTTCTCCCTGTTGTCACAATGCCTCTACCACATGGTAACCAGAGAATAGTCCTACCTTCTGACTTTATAAGGCAATCCTTCATGCACCCTGTATTCAAGGCATCCCAGGCTTGGCAGGCTATCATCAAAATTTTGAACTGCAACTGGAAGAAAATAAATACCCAAACAGACATTGCATGATAGTTTTAACATGATCCCATGTACATGTCTTTTAAACTTTGATCCTGCACTTTGGACTCTCTATAGCAAGCATGGGCAAACTTCGGCCCTCCAGGTGTTTTGGACTTCGACTTCCACAATTCCTAACAGCCTATCAGCTGTTAGAAATTATGGGAGCTAAAGTCCAACCCACCTGGAGGGCCGAAGTTTGCCCATGCCTGCTCTATAGCTTTTAAGACTCTTCAAAATTGGTCCCATATGAAATAGAGTACATTAAAAAGAAAATTTTTGTAGCCAGTTTTGAAACTACAAGACAGACGTTTGTAGAATAAGCTTTCCTAGACTTAGAGTGCATCTATATTGTAGAATTAATACAGCTTGACACTACTTTAACTGTCATGGCTCAATGATACATAGTATCAAAAGGAGTTGTAGATTTACAAGATCTTTAGCCTTCACTGCCAAGGAATGCCGGTGTCTCCCCAAACTTCAGATCCCATGATTTCATAGCATTTAGCATGGTAGTTGAAGTGGTATCAAGTGGTATCAAGTTAGAGCCTGGGTCTATTGCATAATTGCAAGCAACATACTCTTCTTGTGCTTGCTGCATGGTTGTGCACAGAGAAGGGCACTATTATTGCACATGAAACATGATGCAGAGAACTGTGTGTCCCGACCCAAAATGGCATCGCCTTTCTCGGGTGGAAAGGGGTTACAACTGGAAAAAGTTTAAGTCCTTATGCAGAAGGCAAAACACTTAATGTTGAGGCACTGTCCTGAAAAATACTTTTAGTGTGGAAGCTAGTAAATCCTGACAGGCTATCTTACCAGATGGGGAAGCTTATCTCAACTAAAATTGTATCAGTGGCAAGATTTTTTCACTTCCCTACTTAAGACAAAACAAAATGTGCACTTGATTAAAAGGTAACTGTTGTCCCATCAGTGAGTCATCCATCCAGCGTGCCTCTACTCCTAACTCATATCTATGAAGAAAAGCACAGATGCCCATATGATCACAAGTGGGGCCTTGCAGCAGTTCCAAAATTAGGCCCTTTGTTATGTGTATGTATGAGCTAAACACTGCCATGGCAATTCAGAAAAAGAACATATATTGAACAAAATGCAAAGTGCAATTGACAGAAGCAAGTAAATTTTATGATATGCAAAGAGATCTAAGTCTACTCCCTCAGATGCAGGGAATGAAATGCCTTATCTTCTGCTGCACAGTTCCAGACCTGTAACCTTAATCAATGCATTTGTATTAAATTATTTAAGAAGAGCACAACATGTTAATGATAATGGAAACATGAGTAGTATTTGGGGAACACACTGCATCATTTCCCTTCTGCATAGCAAGGAGTCTGTAGCAGTTGCACAAACTGAATCATTCATAGGTCAGCCCTGCAGACCATATAGTAGTCCAACACTGTCTGTGGGGAAAGTTAGGGGGAGAAACTTAAAACCTGATTCCCACCCCAGTACATGTGCTTCAGCCTCCAGCATCAGCTAAAGTGTCAGGCCTCTTCTATACTGCCATATAATCCAGATTATCGAATCTGATATTCCATATTATCCATTGTGAACTGAATTATATGAGTACACAGCCATATAATCCAGTTCAAAGCAGATAATCTGGATTGTATATGGCAGTGTAGAAGGGGCCTCAGAACTTTTGCTTAGGTGCAAACATTTTAAGAGACAGTTTATTAGTCAAAAGGAGTGAGAACTATTGAAAACTCTAGGGGAAGTAATGGGTTAGGTCAGACCTATTTGAGTTATAGCTTTGTTCCTGGACAGATGAATTTAAGGATAAAAATTCAAAAAGTTTGGGAAAGATTTATACTTCCCTTGAAAAATCAGGCTCACAATCTAATAATGCTTTTGGATTTGTTTTAGTATCTGGTTGACAACTGGTGATGGTCAAATGTCCACATTTGGCTGGTTCAGTCTGTTCCTAACATATATCTATGGGTACATCTACACTGTAGAATTAATTTACTTTGACACAACTTTAACTGCCATGCTAAATGCTATGGAATCCTGGAATCTGAAGTTTGATAAGGTGCCAGCATTCTTTGGCAGGAAAGGTTAAAGGCCTTGTAAAACTACAACTCCTCTGATACTATATAGCAGTGAGGCGTGACAGTTAAAGTGGTGTTGAGCTGTATTGATTCTACAAAGTAGAGGCTCCCTCAGTCTGTGAAAGCTTCTGCTACAAATGTCTTTCTTGCAGTTTCAAAAATGGCTACAAAATACTTTTTCTCACAAAACACAACTCATCAAATTCTGCCACATTTACTAGTCAATGCAACAAGGCAATAGTGATTCTTTCTTTCTATTTTGCACAGTGTAAAAAATGTGAGAAAATGCTTTAAACATGTATAAAATCTATTTGGGAAGGAAATACTCTCACCACATCATAATGTATAGAATTTTCTTCATTTTGCCCTACTTACTACACAAAGAAGGACACAGCCAACACTAACATGCTTATTCTTGTGTCTTACCTCTATACTGGAGGAGAGATGGCATGATGTCAGTGGAGAAGTAGATTGGTCTGGTATCTTGCCCAGCTTCTGTAGAAATGTCTAAAGCTTTCCACGAGCATTCATCTCCATCCTCCTTCTCCTGAGAGCTTCTTTGAAAACACATGCAGGAACAACAACAACAACAAAACTTCAGAAGATTTGAAAGCAAGCTGGCATGTCTGAATTCGATTAGGAACATTGGGACGGGGTCTTCCTTCTGGAAGAGGAATCATTTTAAGTAATGCAAACTGAATAGAACATTAATTTGGGAGGAGATATCTGTGAGGAATTAATCTGGAAGGTTCCTTGTACAAAATTGCTGTTAAGAGAAAATATTTTCATGCAGAAATAAAAATTCATTAAAAAAACTTATCTCTAAAGTAGAATTTGTGGCTAAAATAAGATGCCTTGCTCTGCATTAGTTTCCAAAGCACTTTTCACAATACTAAAAGTTCATCCTCAAGGATTGTAGGTGTAGATTGATTTGGGAGTAAGTGAAGCCCCTAAAACTGGGGTGCAAGTGATACAATGAGGGAGAGGTAAAGAAGGAAGGGCACTCAGCAGCAGCTTTCCTGGTAGCTGTGGAGAGCACAGAAGAAGTCCTGTGTTCAGGATTGGGAGTGGGATGCCAAAGACTCTGCGGGCAGGTTTGCCAAGAGCAAAGTCCATCCCCCAGACCCAGGTTCTAGGTATGTGATCCAAAGAAGTTTAGCCCATTTTAATTTTTACCCCTTCGTACTGCCAAATTGTGCAGGCCAGCTCTAGAATTTCAAAAACATGTGCTTTGGGGTGTCTATGGAAGCATTTTTGGAAGGAAAACAGGAAAAGATATTACTAAGTGCATCTAAGGCAGTGGTTCCCAACTTTTTTTTGACCAGGGACTACTTTGACATTAGTACCAAAAGGGTTATGAATCTGTTCAGTTTGGTTATTTGGAGTGCTGATTCAGAAAATTGTATTGGATACATCACATCAGCTCTAGTTTCTGACACAGAATATATGCCACCCAGTATTTGCTATTTGCTTACCCACAGAAAATCATATTTAATAATCTAGAGCTGACGTGGTAGTAGTAATCTTTCATGGGTAGTCAGCCTCAACCCTCCTGACATCCCTGTTGCCTTGGCACTATAAGGGGTTTTTGCAAGACCTGTTGCTCTCATTGCTGTGTGGTTTTGAGGCAAAAGTGTAGTAATAGTGAGGTTGCGGACCATATTTTTGTTTTTGTGGACCACTGGTGTCCTCGGACCACAGGTTGGAAACCACTGATCTAAGGTAAAATTTTGAGAGTGTGCCTTTGTAGGGTGGGTGGGACATTTAGTACATTTGCCTTTTGAGTCACCAACTATCCCTCCTACCAGTGGAAGGGCTGAGAAACTGGCCAAGCCAGACTTCTATTCCTGAAGGTGGTCAATATCCTCCCTGGGAACAAATAAATTCTCTATCACATGGGTGGGAATTGTGTGGCACATGGATGTATATGGAGGCATTGGTTTATACTGACTGTATCCCATTCCCACAAACACCCCCACCCTAACTTTCCAGTCCTTCCCACAAATAAATCAGCCTTAAAGCTCATTTTTATCAACTGGAAAAAACTCACTGGGGGATGTAGATTGTCAATTAATACTGTTTTGGAGGATCCCACCCATACCAATCAAGAATTGTCTCCAAAACCGAACAGAAGAAACCAGAAAATTACTTCCAATTCTGGGAAATAGTGGTAGTGCAGCCCATTCTATGACCTAAAAAGAATTCTCCAACTAACTTCTGAGCATGCCCTCCTAGCTCAATAGAAATCAAGACAGTTTTAGTATCCATTCATATACACATTGGAGGGAATGTTATTATACTCTGTGATGGTGACACTTGCGAAATTACTGAAACTAAATACAGCTTGATAGTGGCTCTAACCTTCTTCAGCATGGTTGCTGTGTCTTGTAAATAATGGTGTGCAGAAGCAAGAAACTGGAATTACATCCCTCTAGACAGCCATTCTGTAAGGGATAGAATAAGGTACACAACCTGTAATGTTATGCATTAAAAAGCACTTAGGCTTATCAAACCAGCATTACAATAGCACATAAACACTGCTGTCATGATCACACTGGGACTTTAGAGTTCAAATGAGAGCTCAAGGAGTCTCATAGAGACTATGTGGGATGAAGAGAATCTCTAGTGTCTTACAATAATATATTAGGTGTATGCAGAATATTAGTGCTGCCTTAAAGGTTATAGACAGGCACTCCCATGTGGATCAACAGAATCAACGTAGATGCTATTTTGTGGGTTTCATGGATGCATAAATGCCCTTCCTCTGTGTACTCTCTGACATGCTTGCTCTTATTTTCTCTCTATGTGGGTTTTCTTGGGAAGATTTATTCAGAGGGGATTTGCAATTGCCTTCTTCTTGAGCCGAGAGAGAGTGGGACTTGCCCAAGGTCACCCAGTAGGTTTGCAAAACTAAGCAGGGATTAAAATCCTGGTTTCCCAAAGCCATTGTCCAACATTCAAATCACTACAACTTGTTAGCTCTTTTTTATTTCCTACATACATTTGAGATAATGAAAAATGAGATAATATGAAAGTCACTACCTCACATTGTCTAGCATCTAGCAGTACCCTGAAAGAACGTAGTATACTTCCTCTTCCACCCCCAGCACAACACAGTTTCATGGGACTGTAACAGGAACCAACTCGATAAAGTTTTGCTCCATGGAAAATAAAATAATTGTTGCATTTCTCAATCTTTAACAAGTACTCTATATGTTTTCTAGTATTTTCTGGAGGTCTGGGAGAGCAAGAACTGTTCATTTCTCTCACCTACACAACTGCAGCTTGACACTACCTTAGCATTCTCACCTTCTCCCAGACATTAATGAAGTCTAAGAGTACACCTTTGCATTGGGGCAGAGTGTTGCAGAAGGAGGTAGTGGATGTTTCTTTGTGCAACATCTCTAAAATGGTACAGGCTCACAAAATTGGTGTTCTCTGAGTTAGATCATTAACCCATGTAGATTTGAGCAACCTTGCTAAGCACACTGTTCTCCTTCCTGGATACCCTAGTCTACATCACTTGCATAGAATTCCACCCATTGTTTTCAACTGATATAGTCCAATTACAACCCTATGCACACTTATACATACTTCTGTGATGACTCCAAAGAAGGGACCACAATTCATTAATCTTGCACATTTTTCTTTCCTGTAGAATGTTCAAAATTCAAAGGGTACTAGAAAATAGCTCTCCTAGCCAATAGTAGCTCAGGTCAAGATGTACCAACGGCCTAATTCAGTCTACAGAAGCTTCATAAATGTCCAGACAGTGAAGCAAGTAAATCTACCATGAGTTCTAACAAAGACCTTGGAGGAAATATCCAAGGTACAGAATCTGATCTTCTACGAGAGTGATTCCTAACCTTTGGTCCTCCAGTTGTTTAACTCCCAGAAATCTCAGTCAGTTTACCAGCTACTAGGAATTGTGGGAGCTCAAGGCCAAAATACGTGGAGGACAAAAGGTTGGGAACCACTGTTCTATAGGTTCTGTACTTTAGATAGCTCCTTGTAATGATGAGACTAAAACCCAGAATGGATTCACTATCCCAGTGATACTGTAGCCACTAAGCTCCACTGTCAACCACAAGGTATCTCAACTCTGAGGTTATTAAATGCAATATACAAATAGGCACTCATCATTAGGTTTTCTATCTAAGAAGATAGGAATATATTTTATCTTATTGAGTAACATATGATGTGTAAAGGGAGAAATAAAAAGAGAGAGAGAGAATGAATTGGTAGCTGACATTGTTTTCACTCAGGCTACAATCATATGAATGCTATGAATCTTGTAGACAAGAGAGAGAGAGAATTGTCCTTTCAAGTAAACAAGATAGCTAAAGAAGATGTTCCAGCTAGAACAAGCAGATGAACATAAGCACTAGAGTAGCTAAATTAAGCAGGTGTTTTGCCTTCAAAAGCTAGCATTTGGTCGAGGATGATGAACATTAAGGTTCATCATCCTCTGGCCTAGGCCAGATATCTAGAAACTAAATACATTTTCTGCACATTAACCCACATTGCCCTCTTTCTGGAAGGTGACAGTCAATCTTGACTCCATGTCTTTACTTTCACTTTCAAATGGATAGAGCATAATTAATCTTCTCTATGTGGCCAGATTCATTCATCTTTTTTAAATATGCCATGGAATTCAAGCTATTGTCCCAGTTTTTCACTGTCTGCAGAACACTTTCCATTATGATTCTACAGCACATTGTGTCATTTCACTTCTAGTGAACATGGGTACTTTCAATTTTCTCCTTCCCAAGGTCCCATCCCTGCTTACTTTTCGTTAACAAGTAAAAGCATTTCTTTGCCATCAGGCATTTGGGGGAGGATGAGGGGTACACTCCTGGGGAAGTTGTGAGCAGAGTCGGGGAGGATATTTAGTTTTAAATGCAATTTTTTTATTATATCTTAATTGTATTTTAACTTATATCCATGATGCTTCCACCACCATCACAAGCATGGCTGATAGGAATGAGGGAGAAGGCCTTCTCTGTGGTGGCCTCATCCACTTCCCTAGCCCTATGATATGCTGTTTGCAGTATCCCTTGCCCAGCCCTTTTGTACTTGGCCACATACATTTTGTAATCCTGGCCATTGGTTTGTTGAACCTCTACTGATGGAGCTGCAATGAAATGGGTTTTTAATATTTTTTATTTTTTAATGTATTTAACAGGATTTTGGTATTTTATTATGCTTTTAGTTTGCCTTATATGTTGGAAACTGCCCTGAGTCCCTTTGGGGAGAAAGAGCAGTATACAAATAATATTTATTTATTTATTTATTTATTTATTTATTATGATTAAGATAGAAATAAATAAAGTCTGCAGTGTTGTGAGCCAGAGAAGCTACATACTCTCAAGCAGTCAGCACAAAGGTAAAGAAAGAGTTATAGAAATAATGCCCAAATAAAGAGAAAGTTATGTATTCACTATATCAAGAGGAGATATGACTCCTCAGGAAAAAAAATGTTTGGGAAAGTAGAAGACAGTAGGAAAAGAGGAAGCACACACTGTAAATGGATAGACTCAGTAAGGGAAGCCATGGCTCTGAGACTAGAAGAGTTGAACAGGGCTGTTGATGACAGGGTAACTTAGAAGTATCTCATTCATGGTTAGTCATAAGTCAAAATCAACTTGACAGGAGTTAACAACAATAATTTGCCTTAAATAATCTATCAGTTTATGATGACCACATGAATTTCATTCAGGCAAGGAATAATTTCATATATTGCAAAATATGATATGAGCAATACCTACTGAATAAAAGAAAGAAAGAAAGAAAGAAAGAAAGAAAGAAAGAAAGAGAAGAAGAATATAATCTAGCAGCTTACAAAATCTGATTTAAAATCATTGAAGTTCATAGTTCCTAAACTATATAAAGAAGACAATCGTCCAAAAGTATCCCCTTCTATGAACCATCACGGAGGTTAAGATCATCTGGGGAGGTCCTGCTGTCAGTCCCACCTCCATCGCAAGTGTGGCTGGCAGGGACAAGAGACTGGACCTTCTCAGAGGTGGTTACTCAGCTCTGGAACACCCTCCCCAGCAAGATTAGATCAGCGCCCTCCCTCCTGGCCATGGTCATGGGATCAAGCTTTTGGCTAATAAATAATGCAGTACAAAGAATAATTAAGGAACATGTGCAATGACAATTCGGAATGGCTATGGTATATGATTTCTGGATCATGGGAATTTAATGTTTATACTAGATTTTATGCTTGTCTGAATGTTTAAATGTTATGTATGTCTTACATTTAATGGTTTTGAATTGATTTTAAGTTCATAATTATATGGGGTAAGTAGTTATTATGATTGTGTACTGTACATTGGCATTGAATTTTTCCATTAGTATGGTGTAAACTGCCTTGAGTACTCCAAGGGGTGAGAAAGGTGGTATATAAATACAGTAAATAAATAAACAGTAAAATAACATGATAACATGATAATGGAGCCCCCGGTGGTGCAGTGGGTTAAACCCCTGTGCCGGCAGGACTGAAGACCGACAGGTTGTAGGTTCGAATCCGGGGAGAGGTGGAAGAGCTCCCTCTATCAACTCCAGCTCCTCATGAGAGAAGCCTCCCACAAGGATGATAAAAACATCAAATCATCCGGGCATCCCCTGGGCAACGTCCTTGCAGACGGCCAATTCTCTCACACCAGAAGCGACTTGCAGTTTCTCAAGTCACTCATGATATGACAAAAAAACCCATGATAATCAATTATTTTGTAAGGATCAAAATTAGGAATCTGCCTATCTTAGAGAAAGAGGAAATTAGATGTGAAATGAAGAAAAACTAGAAGAGCTCTTGTGGTTCATCTGCCTGGTAAAGAATTAAGCAAGACAAATATCTGGTTTCTCTATGATTAGTCTGAAAGATGAGGGCATAACCAATTCCAGACTTGAAATGTTTCACAACTCCAAAGTGTCAGACATGCTATTTGCATTCCCCAAATTTTTCAGACATTGTATAGGTTTATTTTTAAAAAATGCTTTAGAAGACACTTTAAAGAAATAATTCTCAGTTAACTCGACTGATGAATATCAAGACTATAATAAAAATGTCAGCTTGCCAAGTTTCAGCAATCACAATGCAGTTCATGATTCTAACTCATGGCATGCACAGCTTGTGGTGGCCTCTGCGTGTGCTGGCTTATAGTTAAGAATGTATGAATGCACCATGTTAATGTAAGAAACAGAAGGCTATCAAAATGCCTGCATCACACAAGTCCCTTTAGGAAGGAGAATGAAAAAGCAGGACATGCAAGAGTCTTGAACAAATGCAGTTGGCTAGATGAGGGGTGCTTTAAACTAGCTGCTGCAAAGCCAAATCCTCAGGATTTGCATACAGAAAATGGATCTAAATAAAGCCATTAAATGAGAGCATTACCCAACAACTAAAGCGGTCATGGCTAGATTTGAAGATTCAGCATACTTTTTTAAACATTATTTTTGTAGGAAAGGAAAGAGCTGTGGGAGTCTGTATTAATGCCAAAAGTTATACTGCAGAAGCCGTCACTATTAGACAAGCTGTCCATTTGAGATGTGCCAGTGCAATAAGCTAAAGAAGAACTAGTCGAGGATAAATGGTTGAAGGAATTGTTCTCCTACAAACTGAAAAGCAGAGGGAGGAAAAAACAAAATTGAATTTTAGGGGCATTTTCTTCCTTTGTTCCTTTGTTACACCTTTCTATCCTGTCCTCATCCAAAAGAATTTGCCATTGTATTAGCACAGAGAAAGAGACAGACAGACAGAAGACAGAGACAGAAACATGTCCAGATGTATGTACATATGATATTAGTTTCTGGGTACAAAAACCACACAGGAATTTTTAAAAAATGAGGATCAGCTTCTTTTGGAACACATTAGGATACTCCCACATCACCACATAATATCACCACAACTATTACTTCTCCATTGTCAAACAGTTTCTGCTGATCAGTTTTTAATAAGCATAATTTCAAGTACTTCTTAACATGCCTTAACTTACAGAGAATAGTTTTATGGAAAAGGATGAGATGCTAAGAGGAGATTCAAGAAAGAGTCCAAAGATAACACAATATATTTTCCTCCCATGTGGAAAATAACATTTTACTGTATATCCAGGGCAGCAGTGAGGACTCCATTAAGTTGCTAACCCCAAGTGTAGTAAACCCTGTGCATCAATTTTACATTTTAAATATTTATTTATTTACTTATTTCAATATTTATTTATTGAAATAAACATACATTTGTAAGTGTTTGTTGCATACAGTACAATAGTTTCCAGCTATTCATATTCTATAATCATTTCTCAGTTAATATCTTTTCTTTAAGGGGTTACAGGGCCCTTCCACACAGCCATATAACCCAGAATATCTGTTCTGAACTGGGTTATCTGTGTCCATACTGCAATATATCCCTGTTCAAAGCAGAAAATGTGGGATTTTATTCAGCTTTGTGGAAGTGGCAACAGTTTTCTATTTGAATAGTACATATAAAGGCATCATAGGCTCAAAATTAGTATCAGTTTCCTACTTTAAATAATAGTTTTAACTCAATGTGTATTTTAATATTATAATTGCCTACATCTTGTTGTTAGTCCCTATTAGAGTAGACCTAGAATAGATCAATGGGATTTACCTATGTCTTGTTTCATCTTTCAACAATTGATTCAGTTGGTATACCTAAACTGGGATTAACCAATGAGATTTAAGCAAACATGCTTTGATATTATAATCTTTCTGTTTTGCTGTATTTGTTATGTTTGAGCCATTCTGAGTCCCTGAACTGAAAGAAAGGAAGGATTAAAATAAAACAAAACAAATGTAATATAGTAGCATCTTTGAGACTGAGAGAAATATATTTGTAGCATAAGCTTTTGTAAACTTAATTATTGGTGCATCACTCTACGCAACTGATGAAGTGGGCTAAGTCTATGAAAATTTATGCTACCAACTTTAGTCTCTCGGTTAGTCTCAAAGGTACACAAGATCATTTGCATATTGATACAGATAAATATGGCTGTGTCTTGAAAAAATGGGATTTAAGTTCATTTTGACTTACCATTCAGAAACTGATCTGTTCTAGTTGGGACTAACAAAAGGGTTTAGGACATGATAAACTGCCTGCCTAAAACATTCAAATAACTGAAAACTTGTTCAAGGGAAAACTTGAATGAATTAGATTATTCTTCTCTATTCCATAGGCCGAGAATTCAAAGAAATGTCCCCAGTTCTTCTTGCAGATATATATATATATTTAAGTTTCCTACTCAGATAGACTCATCTCTGAGTGGTGGGTCTGTATTTATATTCTCTCTCTCAGTGTTCCTGTTCACATTATTTAAGGATTCCCAACTTGTTTCATTATCTTCACTGCACATGACCTAAAGGCAAAGGTTCTTAAAGAGGAGAATCAAAATATAGTTCTTCCTCCAAACATCTTTTTATTCTGCCCATGCTCCCCACCATAGCTGAAGACTGAAAATACATTCATAATCAAGAGTTCCACCCACCCAAGGATTTGCATTTGATTTCCATGTTATATAATTTTGGGTGCCTGTTGCTGAAGAGATGAAATGGCCATTTAAGCTCTGGGGTATCTAAAAATGGATGAAGCAGGGATGTTATCTGGAGTCAAATGATTAATCTAAAGTTAACAGCTACTGATATTCCAGTGTTCACACTGATATCTGGACAGCCACATTGATTTTAATTAAACACACTTTTTAAAAAAAGGACATGTTTAAGATTGACTCACTAATCTTTGAAATTATCTTCACTCCTAAATTCAATTGTAATCCATAAGCAAAACCAACAGGTGCCATCTTGATGCTAAAACCAGTTGTGGCTGGTTGCTTCCATGATAGTGGGATAAAGAACCCACTCTAGGTTTAATTATCATGTTAAAGGGTTATTCAAGATGCAGAACTCGTTTTCCAAATTAGGCTTAGACACTTGGCTAGCTAAAATAAGAACAATATAGATTGGATTGAATCCACCATTTCCACCCCACCCCCAACATGAAAGCCACCAGCTGCCACTGGCTAGAACAGGCAAAATGTGTCCTTCTGAATAAGCACAAATAAAGTCTGCCTGTCTCTTCACTTGGGACCTTTCCTCTGAACACTTGACACAGATAAGCCAATATATGGATTTTTTTAAAAAAAACATACAATGCTATATTTTAACAATAAATAGACATTTCATAAGTGGGTTTTTGGTAACTGACCTTGCTTACTCCAGATGGGGCTTTTAACCGAGTACAATTGTGTTCTTTTATTGGTATGATTTTTAAATGTGTATCTTTTTTTAAAAAAATCTTCATTTGGATGCAATTTCATTTCTTTTTTTCAGTTGTAAACTGCCTTTAGCCTCAATCATAGAAGAAATGTTGTGTATAAACTGAATAAATACACTAAAATAAATAATATTTGGATTTAAATGTTACTTTCCATCCCATACTTTTGGAACAGGGGGAGCTATAAATAATTGAAAATTGGCAATCACTTTGAATGTATTTAAAATCTCATATGTATTCTCATCAGTGAATTTGCTGGAGCTGCGACTCTGACAATTGTCACCATCGCTGTAGTGCAGCCAGCTTCAAACATTTAATTTTAAGACGACATCCCCTACCCCAAATCAGCATGGTCAGTAGCTTAGTTGGCTGGGGATTCTAGGAGTTGTAATCCGCAAAAGTAACCTTTCTAACATGTTGTTAATGCTAACATTGAGAGCATTTCTTCTGTGCAATTTCTTTCACGTTTCTCTGATGTGGTACGCCTTGCATTCCATTCCACCTAAATAGCACTTTGACCAGAAAACTTTCTATAATTAATTCTGTATTTGAAGCATGCAGTTTCCCTCAGTTCCTTGCTCTTTCACCTCATTTGCATCTGGTCCCTCACCCGCACATATTTAATATACACATGTGATTTGCAAAGCATTGCCACAAAACCTTCCCAATCTTGATGCAACTACCTGTATAATTCTATCAACCTACATTTGTACGAGTTTTTTAAAAATATTGTGAACTTGTGATCTAGCACATCAGTCATTCATGCAAAAAAGAATCCAGATGCAAATGTGCATACACTTGATTACATCAAGGCTCCCTTCTTTGCAGTATTTTGTGAATAGGTATATACACATTGGCACAGGTTGAATATCTGATTATCTGTTATCCAGAATGCTTGGGACTAAAGGTGTTTTGGATTTCAGGTTATTTTCAGATTTTTGAATATCTGTATTTGCACATACATACATAATGAGATAACAGGGAGATAGGATTCCAGTCTAAACGCAAGAAAATATGTTTCACATGCACCTTATGCACATAGACTGAAAATAATACGATATTATTAATAATTTTGAACATGAAACAAAGTTTGAGTACATTGAAAGCAAAGGTACTCACTATCTCAACAACCTCTGTGGACAATTTGGAATGTAGGGAATTCTGGATAGGGGATGTTCAATCTGAAACATGGACTGGGCAGACATACATTAATGCAGGGAATGAACGTAAAGCTAGAGCAAACAGTGCATACACAGGACTGCATTCACTCTGCAAGAACAAATAAATGCAAACAATGGGGAATTCCTAATGCAGAATTCCCAGTTTGGAAGCAAAGTCAGCTAATACAACAAATAAATTTTAGACTCTAGGAATAAATTGCAATGTGAAGAATTCTGAAGTTCCCAATTAATTCAAAATTATCCTATGGTTGACTGGAGGCAGAAAAATACTAGGAAGGGCAGGTTTGAGAAGTTTTCAGACATCACCAAAAAGATGCCAGGTACCACAGAAAGAGCTGTCTGAATACATCCTCATCTGAGTTTCTATGCCATACTAACATTTTTATAATGGGTTTGCAACTTATTACAGGTAGTATAATGGAACAAGTCTGGTATATCCTCTGTAGATATTCTGCTTCAATTCCCTGTTGTGGATAGGTATATTTATAGAATAAGGACATTGCATACATTGATGTGGGATTACATTGCATCGAAACTAAAAGGATTTAATTCCAATTAACATATGCGTAGTCCAGCATTTAACATGTTAGACTGCAACTTGGAAAATTCATATTCAGGAATTGATTAAACCATGCAACTTACTGTATGATCTTGAGCAATTCACCCCCTTTCAGTTGGCCAGGTCTTCCGCATAAATCTGTGAATGTAAGGTGATAGGAGAAGGCATGAATGCTTCCTGAAGCTCATTTGAGGAATGGTGGGTTATAATTGTAACTAAACTAACTAACATATAAATACCAGAAGTTTAAAGGGTGTCTTTTCCCCCTATAGCTTGACAAATGTACCCTCAAAAACCACAACAGAAAACGTTCTTTTCTCTTGTCTATCATATCTTTACTTCAAAACAGCATATGTAACAATGCAATTGTATTGTGTTGAATATTTTTTCAATTAAATAAAAATAAAGTAAAATAAAATAAAATAAAATAAAAAGACTGCATACACCTTTTACCCAGCTTTATTTCCATAACAGCTTTGTGGGAATGAAGACTAATGACAAGGTCACTCAGTGAGCTTCATGGCCAACTGTGGGTTGAATATGGATCTCCAAAGGCCTCAGTCTGGTGAGTATATCTACCTTCCAAGTCACCCATCAATTTATAGTGACCCCATTAATTCCATAGATTTTCTTAGGCAAGGGATACTCAAAGGTGGTTTACCATTCTCTGTCTTTGAAACAGAAACAGCAATTGGGGTTCCTTGGTGGTTTCCCATCCAAGTACAAAGCAGGATTGGTATTACTTAGCTTCCAAGGCCAGCCAGGATCCCTTGCCTTCTGGGTATTTAGCCTGGCATACTAACTGCTATGCTACACTTGCCTTTATATACCAAAGCTTCAACTTCAGACTGAGTCAACAATAGAGAAACAGTATTTGTACTCTCCATTTATGGTCACGTGACAGAATCCAATCAATATGAAGTGCCTTTGAGAACAACTGAATCCATCAGGAAAGAGTGAATTATATGTAGCATACAATCTACTGAAGTCAACACAATTATAGAATGTTTTGGTTCCATCAGCTCTCTTTCTCTCTATAGATGCATATGCAAACAGATTTGTGTGAAAAGTAACACATCCATAGACCTTGAAGACAAAACAAAACCTTTTACAGATTCAAATGCAGCTGTTTATTGTATTCTAAGGACCATTCTGTTCACCTTCTACACTGGCACAATGTTTGTCTCAGACTCCTTCCCTAGAAGCTCTCTTGTCTTTTCAAACATTTCTTCACAAGGATGCAGATACATGATGGAACAGATATGTGGAATGAGCACACGCAAAATTGGAATGAGCTAAAAAGAGAGTGAATGTGCCATCCCAATATACATCTGCATATTTCCAATAAATGATAGACTGATAAGGAAGCAATAACACAAAGACAAGACAGCTATGAATTCTTAGTGACATGAAGCAATCAAAGATTAAGAGTAAGAATCACAGAACTGTCATCTAGCCAAGCTAGCCAAGTTAATAAAGTTGTCTCTCTGCATCTAGAATACCAACGGTGGCCCAAGCATCTATGCTGGCTTGTCCGTATGGTTTTCAAATAGCCATCCATTTAAGGAAACTACTTTAAGAACTGCTTATGTGCCACATAAAACCTTTGTTGTTGCTGCAACAGAATGCCTTAATATCAGAAACAGTCTGAGGTTCTATAATTAAGAAGTACAAGGACAAAGCCTTGAAGAAGTTAGGAGGTTAACTCTTTCCCCATTTATCATATTCCTTTTATCACCCCTCCTCCAGGCAACAACTAAACAAAGAAAGTTTTTGTGGGAAGAAGATTAGTATCTCCTACCCACACACCTTATTGATGTTAGAAGTGCTAGTCTGCATTTGAAGACAGGTGTCTGTTGCTTCTCATGGCTTCCAGACATCCTTTGTTATGTGTAGTTTTCAAGGGAAGGAATTTAGGTGCTCGCTCATTAAAACACAAGCATGCCACTTGAGAAAGCTTGACATTGACTACAAATTCAAGAAATAGTTCTGTGTTTTTTTCCAAATGCAGCTAATTCTCAGCCATTCAATGAAATAAATTGGGTAGTTATAGCTATTGAATGATTTATCTGACAGCAACATATGTCGTCAGCATAAGGAGCTGCTGAGGAAGAAAACAGAGGGAAACTATAATTCAGCACTGTATGCGTATGCACTTTAAAGTCCCGTGTTCACCCCATAATAGTTTCTTTCTTAGACAATGGACTTTAAAGATAGTCTGCATAGAGCCTGGTATTCTTGAGTGGTCTTCAATGCAAGTATTAACAGGGAGGATTTGGTGCCTTATGGGTATGTAGGCCTAATTTAGTACTAGAGTGGTTAAATTTGCAGGGATACAATCTGAGACAAGCAATTGAAGCCTTGGTCTCAAATGGATGAATTTGTCAATTTTGATTTTTCACGCATTCTCTCATACACACACACAACCAATCTAGATTCTTTACATTCCAATTATGAAAATTTTTGCAAATTTTTGCAACATCTTTAAAAAAAACAATAACTGGCAGAGAAATCTTGTCCATTCCTACAACAATACAGTGGGAGAATGTGCTTGCTCTTCTTTCTAAATTTGAGTTTGTCAAGTGAGAATGGGGAAACAGCTTCAGGACTCCTCCACTTCATCCTTTTCAAAGGAAATGGCTTGAATTGTTACCACTGGAAAAAACAATCCACATAAGTTCACATAGGGGACAATAAGATGGATCATGGAGCAGAATTGAAGGTCAGCAAAATTAGAAATTTTGCTTTAGCTTGAGGCCACAGTTGTCCTTTCTGTTTTCTAAGTACCTGAATTTGGCCACTGACTACATGCTTTTTCCCTCTCTCTTCTAAAAGCCTGTTTTGTTTTCAGGTGCTTTCTCTTATTTTCTTTTTTCCAAGTGATTATTCCAGATAGTTGCCTTTGTCAGGGGTCTGGATGTCAATCCCTCCAAAATAAATTACAGGACTTTCTCTCCGCTTGTCAGTCAGGTGGAATATTTTTCAAAGATGTTCAAGTGCACAAAAATTGGGTAAATTGTGTAAATTTGCAGGTTGTTAAATTGCACTAATTACTACAGTAGCTGCTGCCTTGTTCCATTATTATAATCCAAAGCATGGGACAAATTGTTTGCATCTTGTTGACGATTATAACTGTTGTTGCTATTATTATTATTATTATTATTATTATTATTATTATTATTAATCTGCCTCTCCGCATGGACCAAGGTGGGGGACAACAACATATGAAAATACAAAATTAATCAGTCTTAATCTTGCTCTGTGTATGTACATGCATGAAGACATGTGCAGCTTTGTGTGTACTTTGCTCCACAAAGGAAGATATTTTTTCCCTGAAAATAAAGTTGGGGCATTAAATTACATGGGTTCTTGACTCTTCGCCAATTAGCATGTCTAACAGGTAGTGATCCTCTAGCTTCCTTCTCCTTCTTTGCAATTACTTTGCTAAATAAAATAATCCTCGGATATCATATAGAAATCATAGAAATATCATATAGAAATCATAGAGGTGAATGGACATCACAAGGTCCATCCAGTCCAAACCCAACCACACAGGAACATACAATCAAAGCACTCCCAACATAACTGCCAATCATACTCTGTTTAAAAAAAAAAACCAATGAAGGACACTCCACCATCCTCTGAGACAGGCCCGTAGCCAGGATTTTGATTCGGGGGCGGGGGCTGATTTTTTTCAGGGGGGTTTCGGGGAGGGCTGAGTTTCAGGGGGGCTGAGTCTGAGTGAAAGAGGGTCTAGCCTAGCAAACCTTTTGTATCATTACCCCAATACCCCCATGCATATGGATATATTGAGTATGGTGATCAGATCATGATATGAATAAACATAACAGTTTAAATAATGCACCAGTAAGGCCTTTTCGCGAACCACCATGAGAATTTGGGGGGGGGGGCTGAAGCCCCTCAAGCCCCCCCCCCCCCCCCGGCTACATGCTCTGAGACAGTCTGTTCTACCATCAAACATTCCTTATCATCATCAAGTTTTCCTAATACAGTATATAGATAGAATTACTTTCCCTATAGTTGAATCCATTGCTCCAAATTCCATTGGACCCAAACCTGCTGATGTTTCTCACCCTTGTCCTAAACTGGAGTTAGTGAATGTATGAAGCACTGAGGTAGACCCATCAATATTGGTGGGATCACAGTATCTGGAGCAATGTCCCCTGATGCACCCAAAATTGATTTTGCATCTGAAATTCACCAGTGCAGTCCACCAGTCAAGCACAGGAAGAGAAGGGTCCCTGCAGCTGCACACCTCTGGTCTAGACACTGCTTCTTAAACTATGGGTCCCAACCCCAAATAGGATCATGTTCAACGTTGGATTCATGAAAAATTTGGCAACACTAAAAGTTTTCTGCATACCACCAACTGTCTGTTTTAAACATTTACACAAATCAGTTAGCAACAATGTGCTGTGTTTATACTAGACTCTACAGGAAATACTTCAACTGTATTTCATGAAAAAGAAATTTAGCCTATTTAGCAAGTCTTGCAAATGCTGATTTATTATCAGCAAATGTTTGATTTTATGCCTATTTTATATACCTATATACTTTGGGGGGGGGGGTCACCTAAAAATACCTTGAGTAAAAAGTGGTCATGAGTGGAAAAATATAAGAGTGTCTATTGAGTCTGAAAAGTTCAAAAGCTGTGAAACAGTCTTGGGGAACAGATGTAACCCCAAGGTTGCACTTTGCCCACAATAGCTTGAAAAGCAGGTTCTTCCGTTAGTTACCCTTCAGACTTATTGGGTTTAGTGATTGCCTGGGAATTGTGTAGTTTACAGTCCAACACAACTGGGGGATGCCAAGTTAGGCAAGCCTGCTTTAGTGTCTCCAAAATAGGAAGATATGAGTAAGGGAGAATAAAAACCCTAAGCTATTACATTATTGTTTCCTAGCTCAGTTCACTCAAATGGGGAACACGCTTCTTTTGTTGTTACACTACTTGATCTATAGGGAAGAAAATTCCTTCTCTACTTCATCATTTGGCCTAATCAAAGTTTCAGCTGAGGAAGAGGTTATATTTCTTCTGGCAACTGCTTCTGACAAGGGCTGCATCATGATTTCAGAACTCTGGACAATTTTCCTCCCCACAAAGGAAGGAAAATATGGAG